TTTTTGATTTTCGAAACAGGGTTTCTCTGTAGTTTTTGGTGCCTGTCCTGGAACTAGCTAGCTCTTGTAGACCAGGCTGGCCTCAAACTCACAAAGATCCTCCTGCCTCTGCCTCCCAAGTGCTGGGATTAAAGGCGTGCGCCACCACCGCCCTGCTCAAACCATTCTTTTCTTAAATTTTTATCCATTTCTTTGAGACAGGGTCTGGCTGTCCTGGAATTCACTATGTAGACCGCACTGACCTCAGACTCACAGACATGCATCTACCTCTGCCTACCACCATGCCTGGCTCTTTTTGGGGTGTGTGTGTGGAAACAGTCTTGCTATGCAGTACAGTCTAGGTCCAATTGTCTCCTACCCATAATACTATAATAAAAGACCAAGGTTTAAAGACAACTATTACAGAAATCATCACCTCAAACTCAACAATAATTCCTAATCTTTGTATGACTGAATCAAAACAAGATTCTCATGGATGAAATAACAAATTGCACCTCAGTTCTAGAGCATAAGTTAGAATTCCTCCGTTAGCGATAGGGGCTACTGAAGGAAGGCAGGGACAAGAGACTAAGGGGAGGTTTCAAGTCACTCACCTGTGGCTGCAGCACCATTTTGAGTGGCACTGAAAGTCTCTGTCCTGGGCTTTGTCCTGGTCCCATTATCTGAGCCTGCTGCACAGAGGAAAGTGTCAGAGGCTGGGCTGCGGGTGGCGGCTGTGGTTGTGGCTGTGAAGAAGGAGGCTGGGGTACAATCTGGATTTTCTGCTGTGGCTGCTGTACCTGCAGCTGAATAGTTACGACTTTGGCAGGCTGCCCCTGGGCATTCTTGGCTTGAGTCAAGGCTGCCAGCTGGTTGCCCTGTAACACTATCTTGCCTGGTAGACTCCCTAACACAACATGCCGATGTCCTTGGGGACCTCCGGTCTGTGGCTGCTGGAGGACCAAGGTGATGCGTTTCGATTCACCCTACACAGAAAAAGGAAATCACAGAAGAGGGACATTAAAGAATATTATACACAGAAGTATTTATACCAGCTTTCTTCATCTGAGATTCATAAAGGTGAATGTCAAGAGAGAATCCATTTTTGTTTACCCTCCAAATGTCTCTAGGGCATCTTTTTCTGTAACACCCCAGTGGATATCAAGCCTATCACACACACACATACAACTTTTAATAGCTATCTTCTAAGGCAGTCATTTAATGTTTAAAATGAAACATGCCTCCACATCACTTCCATCCGTTTCAGTGCCTACAGGTGCTCCCCAAATTTCTAAGCCTTTATTGAAAGCTCTACCTTTGCATGACAGAAGCAGGAAGAGAACAGCAGTGTTAGCAACGATGGGAGAGAAAGGTGCAGTGGCTCGTGTGCAATCTGGGCATCAGGACACTGAGATGGAGGAGGTCAAGTTTGAGGACAGCTTAGACTACTACACAGTGAGACCCTCTTAAAAACAAAAGCCCCTACAATTGGTGTGATGGCACACACCTCTAATTCCAGCAGTAAGGAGGTGGAGGAAAGTCAATCTCAAGTTTGAGGCCAGCCTTCCTTGGCTATATAGAATTACAGGCCAGCCTAGGCTATACAGCAAGAATCTGTCTCAATAAATAAATAGATAGATAAAAAGTAGAGCACTTAACAAGTCTTGCAAATATGTGTTCCCAGAACACACTATATTAAATGACAACTTACAGCATACATTTACTGTGAATTTTTGTTTAATGTCCGCATCTCCCTGCAGAGCTGGTGGTAAGAGCTGAGAGGTTCACAGACAGTAATTACTACCACCAAAACTGTTAACAAGTGGCTGTCAAAGCTCATTGGTGAAAAGTAAAGACAGTCAGACGGTGGTGTCATACACCCTTAATCCCAGCACTTGAGAGGCAGAGGCAAGCAGATCACTGAGTTTGAGGCCAGCCTGGTCTACAGAGTAAGTTCCAAGACAGACAGGGCTACAGAGAAACCTTGTCTCGAAAGAACCTCCCCCACTCCAAAGAAAAGACACATGGTGGTTAGTGCCTGTAATCCCCACACTTGAAGACCAAGACAGAAAGACTGCCATGAGTTTGGGACCAGTCCCAGTTAGAGTGAATTTGTTCCAAAACAGCCCATAATCTGCAAGACGACAGATCTGAACAGACTTTCCTGTAAACAGTTCTTATGTATCGGTGTTCTCTCCCTCCACCCTCATTGTTCCTACGTCCTCTACGAAACCACAATTCACTCAAGTCACCTGGGTAGGTGTAGAAGTCAGTGTGACTGCAGGCTTCAGTGGGGGCCCCGCAGCCCCAGGGTTTCCAGCAGGAGCTGAACCCTTAACTGGCTGGAGGACTAGCTGCTTTACTGGTCGGCTTGGCTGGACAATGCGCTGAACAGCAGCCTGGCTCCCAGGGACCTTGGTGGCCAACACTGTATTACCAGAGACAATGGAGACACCTGGTCGAAGGGGTGTACCAGTTAGCACTTTGGTAAAGGTGACTTTTCCACCATTGGCTGTGCCAGCCACTAGGGGCTGAGCCGTACTGGTGATACCTTGGGCCTGAATTTGTGCCACATGGGCACCCGTGACTGAGGAGTTTGGTGGGGCTTTAAGGATAACAATCTTAGGGGCTGACTGAGATGGTTGCCCTCCAGTATTACTGGGAGAGACAGCTGTGGCAGAGACACCCATGAAAGGATTCCCTTGGCTCAGGATCTCTTGGCTCTTGGAGACCTGCAAAAGTCCTGATGTTGGCGCTGACGTCTGCAAGACAGGTTGGGCTGGCTGCTCCTGGCTGGCGGGCTGAGTGGTATAATCATGCAAGGTTAAGGATTCTGGAGCTGGAGCTGTGGATTCTTTGGGAAGTTCAGGAGGAGCTGTATCCTCTGGTTGGGAAACCAGGTCACTTGCTGATGAATTTCCCACATCAACACCTCCACCATCTTGGTTCATCTGATCCAAGGAGTCCAGAGAGCTTGGCAGTCCAAGTGCTTCTTCAATGGGGTCTTGAGTGACCTGATTAAAGCTGTCATCAGTCAGGGAGTCCAGGCCAAATAAATTCGGGTCATCAAACAAATCCATGATGGGGTCTGCCATCTTGGTAAAGTAATGAAGGGTATCTGTAGAAGTCTATGGAGGGAAGGGGAGGGGGGGAACCAGTTCTCCCCTCCCCTTCCCTATGAAGAAAACAATGGACACAATGGACGAAAACTATTCTTCAAGTGAAGATACAAGAAACAAGTGCATGTCAGATTGTCCTGACCTTCATGGAGCAAGACAGCAAAATCTTCAGAGGAAGAAGATGGAGCTCCTGTGATGGAATATAAATATAAACATAAACAAAGTTGGTGATTTCAACGAAAAGTCCTAAGGTACCATCTAAGGTTTCAATTCTGTTAGAATAATAGGACGATATGAGGGACTTTGCAGATGAACACATGATAAAAAGAATACCCACATTTTTGTCTCAAAACTAAAAATTAAGAAGAAATAACCCCCACTTTAGGCTCTTATATCTCTACACCTTGAAGTTTCTATCAAGAATATTCAGCTTGTTGGGTGTGGTGACACACAGTTTTATTGCAGAACCTAGAAGGCAGAGGCAGAAGGGTCTCTATGAGTTCCAGGACAGCTAACCAGAGTTACACAGTGAGGCCCTGTGTCCAAAAGCCAAAGAAACAAAAACTAACAAATAATAAAAAAATATTAATCAGGGGTGGGGAAAAAACAAAAAAAAATCATTAAGCCTGTTTCTGCTCATTTCTTTTGACAATTATCTTTTTAAAATAATATTAAGAAAGTTTACATTTACTAACTGTTAAATTGGCACAACTCGAAAATGTAGCAAGAACACCTAAAAAAGTAGATTAAAGTTTCTGGATCCATTGTTATAAATTCTCCTTTCAGTCCAGATACTTCTTCTACTTATGACTGGTAAAAAAGCAAGCCACCTGTAACCAAGCTCCTAACAATGTGAGCTGAGGCCAGTGTACTTTCTCTAACAATATTCCACTAAGCATTTATACACAGCATTTTTTTTAATTTTATTTATTTATTATGTATACAATATTCTGTCTGTGTGTATGCCTGCAGGCCAGAAGAGGGCACCAGACCTCATTACAGATGGTTGTGAGCCACCATGTGGTTGCTGGGAACCGAACTCAGGACCTTTGGAAGAGCAGGCAGTGCTCTTAACCTCTGAGCCATCTCTCCAGCCCCTATACACAGCATTTTCAGATGTTTTCTTTAATGCCTTTCTTATATTTAAGATTAAAAATATTTGCCAGAATGGTGGTACATACCTTTAATTCCAGCACTTGGGAGGCAGAGGCAGGCGAATGCCTGTGAGTTCAAGGACAGCCTGGTCTACAAATCGAGTTCGAAGACAGCCAGGGCTGTTAAACAGAGAAACCCTGTCTCAAAAAACAAAACAACAAAAACCTTTCTTTGCAAGAGACTTAGCCTCTCAGTTCTCACTCCCACACCCAGCTCCCCCTGACCATCACCTGTACAGGGAGTTCCTGTGCCCGTCATGCTGTGGTACCTACAGAACACAGCCGCTTCTACCCTTTCATCCCTTCCAGCAGAGAAACTACCCACCCAAAGCTCTGTATGATGGCTTGATCTTCTACTTGTTTTAAAAAGCTACAGCATTCTATCTTATTAAGGCACATATGCCTTGAGTTTCTTATGCACATCCTATGAAGGTACGAATCATTCCTTTGAGCAGGTTACAGAAACTACCAACTTCTCAAGATGCTTGTCTAACATGTGTGAGAAATTATCATAAATACATAAAAGTGAACAATTATGGATCTTATTCAGGACAATGTATTATTACCCAGCTCCTTAGAGATCCTTGATGATGGGAAATCTGTAGGACAGCACACACAGGAGCCATCCAACAAACGGTTATAGATAACACTTGCTCACATTACTGGAATAAGTTTTTCAGTCTTCACAGAAATCACAATATATAAGACAGTGTGGAAGCCTCCTATCTTGGAAAACTGCGCCATAAATGATATGTTGATAAATTTCACATCTATGGCTTAAAGTTTATGAAAATGCTAGTGGGGAAACAAAGGAAATTAAACAACCACGTGAAAAGGAGAGGTGGCTCAGCAGTTAAAAGCACTGACTGCTTTTTCAAAGGACCCAGGGTCTCCAGCAGCCACATGGAGGCTCACAATCATCCTTAACTCCAGCCCCAGGGTATCCAATGTCCTCTTCTGGCCTTTGCGGGCACGAGGCATGCACACAGTACACACACACTTATATGAAGAAGATGTTTGCTTTTGGGCTAGTGAGATGGCTCAGTGGATGAAGGGAGTTTAATCCCCAGGACCCACATAAAGGTAGAGGAAAAGAGCTGACTCCAGAAAGCCGTCCTCTGACCTACACATGTCTACCATGGCACATCCACAGCCATAATGATAAACCTCATAAAACACTCTAAAAGAGTATAGTGTCATAACAATTTAGGAAGGCCTTACTTGATAAGATCCCTTTTCCTAGCTATCTGAAGACATCAAATAAAAAATCTGTCAGGAAATATAATGTAGGTCTGACAAAAATGACTTTTCCACAGAAGTTTCATGCTCTGTATGTGTGTCTGTGAGAATGTGCATGTCTGCTGGGGATGGGAGGGTTGAGGAGTTCTTGTTTTTTTGTTTTTAAGACAAGGTCTCAGCATAGAACAAAGATATAACCTATCCCAGGATGGTCTCAAACTCACAAGCCTCCTGTCTCGGCTTCCTGAGTGCTGGGATAATGGGTCTGTGCTACCAGTAGACTGGGCTTCCAGCTCTCCTTACAAACAATGTAGTAGATCAGGATTTCTTCCCGGCGTCAATAACTGTATCCAAACTATTCCAGCATCTCATTCCAACTTGTAATATTTGCCCACAAATTACTCAAAATGGTAATCAGCATTTATGCATATTTCTTAATTTAATGAAAAACCTATTCAATAATTTTATATATTTCTTTAAGTCTCAACAACTTTTTTTTTCCTGGTAATGCCCATTTTGCCATCTATGATCTTTTCTCTCTACTCGCAGTCAGAAGTTACACTAAGCATCTGTAGCTAAATGTCAAACAAAACAGCAAGGGACAGTACAGTGGCTCGTGCCTGTAGTCCCAGCATAAACACTACTACAAGTTTAACTGACAATAATCTACAGGAGTATACACTTCACAATAACTTGTTTATTCATTCTACTCCCACTTCGCCCAGTCAGGGGTAAAACTCTGGCAATAATCTTTTAAAAAGTATTTATGAGATAGTCTTCTATGCTGCCTAAACTGGCTCTGGGTTTGGCAATCCTTTGCACAGGTCTGCAAAGGCCAGGATTATAAGCATGTATCACTTCGTTCAGAAATTTCGTTTTTCATCTTGCAGTACTGGTAACTGAACTCAGGGCTTTGAGGATGCCAACTAAGAACATCACCACAAAGTTAATTTCACCTTTTTTATTTTTTAAATTTAAATTTTTATTTTGGGCCCAGCACGGTGGCATACTTTTAATCTCAGTACTGGGGAAGCAGAGGCAGGAGGATATTTGTGGTTTCCAGGCCAGCTTGGTCTACACAGCAAATTCTATGACATCCAAAGCTATATAGAGAAACCTGTCTAAAAATATTTATTTCTTTAAAATTTTTGTATGTGTTTTTTACATGTATGCCACTGCACTGTATGCCTGCCCGTGGTACCTGCAGAGACAGAAGAGGACATCAGATCTTCTGGAGCTGGAAATTACTAGCAGAAGTGAGCTTCCTTTCACGTGGGAGTTGGGAAACAAACCAAGGTGCTCTGGAAGTGCTCTTACCCATGGAGCCAGCTCTGCAGCCCCTCACTTTACCTTCTGTTTAGACTGTGTCTCACTAAGTTGCACAGTCTGGCCTTGAAATTATTCAGTAGACTAAGCAGGCTTTGATTCTCTTCCACATCAGCCTTCAAAGGAGCTGTGTTTACAGGTCTGCACTACCAGACTGCAATAAAGATGGTACTTTTTAATAAGAAACAGTAACTGAACTTTTTCCCCTCAAATATTTCACTGCATGTGATTCAATTATTAAGCTTTAAAAATCAGTGTATTATCTTAGTCCTTGTCTCCCAAATCTCTTTTTGGCCAAATACAGATGTTTTAGTGTGGGCTTAAACATGAGGGTTAAGACAAAAAAGACTCAGTCAGGCACACTAGACCAGGTGAGGGTTTCCTTGAAATAGGTACTTTTTGTTTCTTTGTAGTCAGGGCTTCTCTGTGTAGCCCTGAGGGGTCCTCAAATTCAAAGATCTGTCTGCCTCTGCCTATCAGTGCAGGGTTTAAAGGTATGAACCAGAAGGTGCACCACCATACCCAATCTTAATTTTTTTTTTTTTAAATAAGGTCTATGTAGCCCAGGCTGTTCACAAACTTGAAACAATGCACCTGCCTCAGCTTCCTGAGTGCTAAGATTGTAGCCATTGCTATTTCTGCTTTCTACTTGTCAGTCTAGATTCAACAACTTGAAAGTCTTCCCCAGGTACGGTGGCTTACCCTGCAATCCCAGAATTTGAGAGGCTGAGGCAGAAGGACTGCTATGAGTTTGAGGACAGACTGATCGCAGAGGGAGTATCAGGCTAGCCAAGGTTACATAGCGAGAACGTCTCAAAAATAACCCTGCCTCAAATCCTGGCAACTGACTCAATCCCACAATAAAGTATTACTACTTTTCAACTGCTAACCTGTAGTCAATTGCCCCCCTGTGAGGTTTTAAGCCTAGCTCCAGATTCTCTGACTCCCATTTTAAACATCCTGGATTTTCACAAGTTCAAGCCTCCCTATACCTCTAACTTTCTTCATTGCTCTACTCCTGTACATGTGGATCATCCTGCCTGCACCAATATACAGCTTAGTTTACCATCTGACACACTGCATGAATTCTCTTCTACAGCTCGAACCCTGGTAAAACAAAAAATGGATGTTCTACAGGTTTTAAGGTAAAATAACTATCTAGATAATAAAGTGATATCAGACTTTGTGTTACTAAGAAGGAAAATGTAGCTTCACCTACCACTGCCCTAAAGAGAAGCACATGCATGTACTCTAAAGGAAAACCAGGATTTAGTGGTTGCACTTAATCACATTCCATAATCAAAATATATAGATGCATGATACAAATCCCGAGGGAAATTCAAGGTCACCAGGACAGTGTCGTCTGTTGTCTTCTCAGAGCTCCCTTCTTCCCAGAAGTCCCCACACCGGTGCTCTAGGCCTGGCCACCTTCAATACCATTCTTGTACTTCTGGAGCCTCAGCGCTCCGAC